CTGACCATTAAGGTCTCTTGGAAGATTTTTAATGAGATGGCAAAGTAATAATTGATCTTGCGGTTGCAGGAAAGGAGCAAAAGCATGTAGGAAAGCAAAGAGAAGCAGAAGAATCCAAAAGTACTGCAGCGCTATAAGCCACATAAGTCCTGGCTCATTTTAAATCTGAGCACACATGCACACACCATCTTTTTTCATTTTTACTTTAAACTAGAAATCGGACTTCGTGTGTTAAGATAAATTCTGCACCTTTCTAACTAGTGTAGCCTTTCTGTTCCATAGGCTGAGGTATGTTGAGCATGAGTTAATGAGAATAAGCAGTAGAAAGTGTGGATATCTTAAATAACAATGAGAGTTTTAGGTCAAAGGTTTAGTGTTGCGATTTATAGCAGCTGTTTGTGGCATTTGGCTGAAGTTGTAAAGCTGTGGTTCTCAACCTTCAATGCTACGACCCTTTAATACGGTTCCTCATGTTGTGGTGAAACACCCACCCCCATTCGTTGCTACTTTATAACTGTCATTTTGCTACTGTTAGGAATTGGGTGACCCCTGTGAAAGGGTTGCTTGGCCCCCAAAGGGGTCACGACCCACAGGTTGAGAACCACTGTTGTAAAGGAAAGCAAATAAATTATGAGGGTTCAATTTGGGCAAAGATAACAGGTACCTGGAGGAAGAAGATATGAGGGCTAAAGCTTTCTTAGGGGTCTGTCTTTTCTCCCATAGACAATTTCAAACTTGAAATCATTAGAATCTGTACTTTTCTCCATCCCCAAGTCAAGAACTGGTCTCTTGGGCTGCCTTAGTGAAGAACTGTGGGAGAGAGGCCTGGGGTGGCATTTTTTAGATTTCATATATTACTATCTCCTTACTGGCCACTTTATGCTGAAGGAGCCCTGGGCTGATTTCTGGCGTGTTTGTCTTTACTACTGTTGCTGTCCTGTGAACTGGGCTTGGTGTGAAATTAGTCTCTGTTACCAGCCTTGCCAGATCAATCAAGTGTGTTACTAAATAATATTTAATAATTCTTTAGTTACATTGGCAGGGGGCACCCTGTTGCTATGTCTTGGTCATCTTTTTTTTTTCCCCCGGGACGTTAGCATGATTGTGAACTAACCAGCACAGCAGAGAGGGTGATTTGTCTTTGCTGATTTTTGATGCTTATTTTGTTTCCTTCTTCCTTTCCCCATGCTACTACCCCGTTTTTAAAGCACACGAGTGTGGAGAGTGAGGCGAATCTCCATTCTTCCTCCAGCACTTTCTCCACCACGTCCAGCACAGTCTCTGCACCTCCCCCAGTGGTCAGTGTCTCCTCCAGTCTCAATAGTGGAAGTAGCCTGGGCCTCAACCTAGGCAGCAACTCCACAGTCACGGCCTCAACTCGAAGCTCAGTTGCTACGACTTCAGGTACTCCTGTGTAGAAAGTGGATGGCATTCTTCTGGCATGGGAAAAGAAGTCAGGAGAAGAAGATCAAAACGTAATTTGTCTTTCAGGAAAAGCGCCTCCCAACCTCCCTCCTGGGGTCCCGCCGTTGTTGCCTAATCCGTATATTATGGCTCCAGGGCTGTTACATGCCTACCCGGTAAGTGGGGCGTAGGGTCTTCCCCAAAGATGAGCATGATTTCACTACTCAGAGGGAAGACTAAACTGAAACTAAGCTTTCTACTGTGTGTCTTCTTTGCAAACATGAAGTTTAAGCTTCAGAAATCAAAGGATCAGGATGTGCACCTGACTTCCTTTTTTTTTTTTTTAACAGTTTAACCCCCAATTTATTTTACTAAGGGAGCCCTGAAAGTAAACTTCAAGGCCAACAGTTTAACACTGCCAGTCGCTCCTGGTTCATAGAGAGGATTGTAGAGCTGGCCCCTAGAAATGGAATAATTTTAAACACTTAAATGTTTTCACATTAAATTCTAAAGTCTTTTTCTCTAACTTATACTGTATAAGTTTTCGATGGCAAAGTGACCATGAGTCTTATTCTTTCACAAAGATATCCAAGTGTGAATTTCTTTCTAGTCTACTCACTCATTTATATCTTGGTCATTAATATATAGACGGTAAGCCTTATCCATTAATTCACTGACTAAATACGTATTTAAAATATACTCTGTGCTAGACAGTATGTTAATTGATGCAGATTTTATGGTAAAGAATTGCTCTTATATTTTCTCTCACAGAGCATATAGTCTGGCTTCATTCTCCTTCCTCCCTAGAACTCATGATCCAAAGTTTCAACTGCTCCTTTACAAGAATTCAGCACGTTCTTGACAACTTGATTTTGTGCTAATTCCATTGGAATTACTCTGTACTTGACTTAGTTATCTAATTAGGAAAAAGAATTTCTGTGAGAAAAAAATCCAAGACACAAAAAATTACATTCTCTTTTTTAATTCTATGAGAATTAAATTAAGCTTTCTAAATTAAGCTTTCAAGAAGAATAAGGCATATGACCAAACTTGATTTATTTGATGAACAGTTAACCACTAAGTTACTAACTGAAAGGTTGACAGTTCAAATTTAACCAGAAATTCAGTGGGAGAAATGCCTCGTAATCGGCTTCCATTGAGTGAGCAGCCTAGAAAACCCAATTGGACAATTCTACTCTGTCATATGATGCAATGGCAAACAACTATTATACATAGTATTCATATTTTGCTATGCCAGTGTTGTTCACTACTGTTCTTAATTAGTTGGGTTTTTTTCTTTCTATTTTTT